TATATATAAATTACTTTTTAAAGTACTTTTATTTACATCAGCATGAATTAAAGACAATGTAACAAATACTGTTTATACAATGTTTTTGTCGTATTACAGTAAGTTGTCATCAATTTAGTCACACAGATAAAATAAAATTCTTTATTTCTTTAGATTTTGGAGTGGAAAATGACCTGGACATGTTGACCAGTCTCATGAGATTCACCTGGTTGTCCTGCGTGCAGGAGTAGAAACAGTAAAATCATCTCAATAGAATAGACCTCCTATAGCAGCTCTCAAACATCACATACGAGTAAATGACTGAATCCAGCCCTGTGCAGGGTTTGTTTTCTCGTTTGTTGCTAACCTTTGTTGTCTGATGCAGCATCATCACCTCGCTGCACCCTGACTTTGCTTATAGTGTCATGATTTACTCCGATTAAGAATCAGACCAAATATGAATTGATTTACCAGTAACAAAAAAACTGCATGAATAAACCTCCATTGTGGTTGTGAATGAGGTGTGTGGTGCTCCTGAGGGTCTGATGTACGTTTGTGCGTGTGATGCGAGTAATGATTGACAGAACAGACGGAAGGTGGGCCGGACCCCGCCCTTGATCATTAACCCCTTTATGCCCAGACCCAGTGCTGTCATGTTGCTTAGCAACCCTCGGTGATCCCGGTCAGCATCTCCGAATGACATGGACCGGACTGTGATCAAACGCTCAAAGCTTCCAGAGTCTGGGGACGAATCTCAGCTTTTGTTGTTTCCTCTCTCTTTCAAATACTCTTTCAACCCCAGAAGCAGTTTTCAGCTCAACATATGGTGATCTGTCTCCAAGTGCTGCTGCGATTGTAGAGAATGTAGCCAAAAGAGAAATAAACTTTTTTGAAAATATTTGGATACATGTGCTTTCTTCCCCTAATTTTTTGGGCAGTTTCTTCAGGCCTGTGGGAGCCCTATATGTTAAACAGCCTTTAAATGCTTGTTTTATTTTTTGTGTCTTTTAACAGAAACAAGTACGTGAGTGGTTCTCCACTCCGGGGCCACAAGATGGGTTAATAAGATGTAAGATTAGAGCAAACTAAAATGGCTAAAAATCAGATTTCTTAATTTTAATTTGTTCCTTAAACAACTGATTTTTAAGAACCAAGGTTCAGTCTCGGAAAACCTCGATACTGTAAATGAGGGGATTTTAAAAAGTGTGATTTCCAGACCTCATGACCAAAAGTCATGGAATTTTTTTATAATGAATATACAGCTCTACCTAATATTCTAGCTTTACATAACTTGGGAAAAAAAAAATTGCCATTTGTGAATAAAAAACTATTTCAAACCAATAATCCTGAATGACTGGAAACAATGTAAATTCATAAGTGAACTCTGAAGAACATTCCATTTTTGAATGTTTTTATTATTATATATTGAAACTCTTATAGTTGCTGTAAATTACGTTTTATAAAGAATGACCTTATATAGAAATATCTTAGCCTTTGAGTCCGAAAGGCTGAGAATCACAGAACTGACATTGACCCAGCCGATTTACTGGCCAATAGTTGGCATTTTCATTACCCGTTCTGCCAGATTTCATTTTCAAAATATCCTAACAGCCTTGTTGCAGCCATTTTTATTTTTTTTAAGCATCAAGTTGAATGTGTAAAACGGCACTTTTAAAATTCAGCAATTTTAAATTTTATTAGCCATTACATTTTGCTTATCTATATATTATACTGCTTTCTAGAATACTTGATTCTGATATGTCAGTTGTGGCAGTCAGTGGTCAAAGATTTCTGCTTTACATCGGCCTCCTGATCATCCTGATGGGTTTATTGTGTGATGACCTTCTAACTGTATGCCCACAAACATCCTTAGCCAACCTGCTGTCTAAATATGAACAGTGACTATTGAAAACCCCTTATCACTTGACTGTTAAAAGCAAGGAATTGCAACATGATATATAAAATATATACTCAACTCATGAATTACTACATTAGATTAAAAAGACAGACAGTCCTAGTGTAAAACTGGGTAGTTTATTGCTTGTGTATGTTTGAATACGAGATTCCTTGACAATCTTCAAACTGCACAAGTGCATATTCAGCCCTGCAGCACATTTATAACTGTGTTTCTGTTCATCATAACGGCAGAGCTATCATACAGAGTGTGTGTGTGTGTGTGTGTGTGTGTGTGTCTGTGTGTGTGTGTGTGCACACGTGAGAGAGAGAAACAGAGGCCCAGAGCCCAGTCTAACCATGAATGGAGGAGTTTGAGCAAATCAAAGCATTCGAAACAAACGGTGCAAAGAAAGAAAAAAAAAAACTTTAAAAAGTCAGACGTTACATTGTAAAATCACATAGCAATTGGTAATTACAAGGAATGCTATACTAACATTTGAAAGTTGATTACAGGATATACAGAAAGAAAAAGCACGATATGGAACAGATTCTGAAGAGAGCACAAACCAGACATACAGTCATCTCTTTTTTAAATGTATTTTTTAATATTAGACGTCCATCCACACGCTGATTACTCTCAGATGCTGGCGTCTCTCAGAACCGCGTTTATCTCTGTGTGTGTGTTTACACACTGGAATCTTTTTGTACTGAATAAATACAATAGAGACGTACAGAGGGACGCCCTCCGGCCCCGCTCTGACCATTATGAGGACTCTGGGGCCGTCTGCTGTAGGAGGGTCTCCGTGGCAACAGGCATCTCTGAGGGCGTGTCTTTGACCGCAGGGGTGGGCGTGGCATCCAGTTTGAGCATTGGAGTTTGCTTGGTCGCTAAGGAGACGGGCAGGATGTGGTCAGATGGTGCCAGGGAAGATGGCAGCGTGACCCCGGGCATGCTGGGAAGTGTGGAAGGGAGAATGGTGTGCATGGGCAGAGGAGAGATGCCGGGCAGGTTCAGATGGGGGAGAGGAGGCAAACCTGCAGAGAGAGATCAAATCAATCAAGCAGAAATTCAGTCACAGAAACAGTTCGTTCACTGTGGCTGGTCACTTTACACAGGGTTTCTGCCGGATTTTTAAAACCAAATTTAAGACTTAAGATCTTTTTTTAGGACCCGCACAAATACAATTGATACAATATGTCCATTCAGAACAGATCTCAAAATAAATCATGCATCTCAAATTCTTTTACTTGATTAAACAGGCCATAGCACACAATCAAATAAGGACTTAATACAGCTTATTAGCAAAATGGGAACTGCAAGTTTAAAATACTCAAGAGATGTTTTATTTAATATGTAATGACATTGGTTTATGTGCCAACTTAATGTTGAATCAGTATTATTAATATTTTTAATTTTATATTTTCAGTTTTTTTATTGTTAATTTTAGTAATTTTTTTATAGTGTGCTTTTTGTCATTTCTTACTTTTTTTCTTTTCTTCCCTAATTATGTCTGCATAGTTTTTAAGTTTTAGTTATTTTAGTACTTCAACTTTAAAATGATATGAGAAATGTTGCCTTGGCAACTATCTGAAAAAAGTTATATTTATTATATTTCAGTTAAAGGCACAATATGTACGATTTTTTTATTAAAATATCCAAATCACCCTGCTTCATTCTACTACGTTAATAAATCATTAGCTCATCCATGAAAATGATTTCTGCCTGAGTCCCGTCGGATTGCATCAGCTGTGGGGATGAAGACCACAACTCCCATCATTCCACACTCAGTCACAGTGTCATCACACCTTTGCCTCTGTTTATTTTGAATATGCGCCCTCTAGCGGCAAAAATTACATATTGTGCCTTTAATGTTTATTTTATTTCAAGCAATTAAAATGTTTATGATTTAAGATTTTGCTATTAAGTTTTTGAATTAAATGCCAGGTAGTTTATTATGTAACCTGAAAAAAAAAAAAAAGATGCACAATGCAGGACTTTTATATTATAAACAAGCTCGAAATGCATCAGGACTCTTATTTTGAAATGTTTATGCTTTAGTACTTCCATCTTACAACCATCTACAACATAATATAAACACCATTAAGTAAACACTGTCATGATTAACAGTCGATCATAAGCAATCGCTTGGCATAAATGCATGGTAATGACTGCGAACGGCTCTGAAACCGCAAGCTTGAAAAACACGCATCAGCGCCGCGTTTTGCTTTTGAATGTGCAGCGCTCACGTTAATGTACTTAAATCATTTTCTTTTGAACTTCAATAAATATCTCACCACAATCACTGCTTTTCAGTCCCCAAATTTAAGGCCTCTTAAAATTACAGTTAGGACTTCTGTTACATCAATTAAGATATTTAATACTTTTTATGAGCTGAAATTTGATCAAACTGAATTTAACCAGACAGACTGTCCTCAAGCCCTGTGGGAACAGGCTGCGACACAGGGGGCGGAGTTACTGCAGACAGCTGAACCTAAACAAAACATCACGGAAGTCAAACGTCTGACCAAATCTATCAGAATACACCATGTGAAACGCACACTAACCTCTGTGAAGCCGTCCTTCAGCGGGCTGGCGGGCTCACTGGGGGTGTGTCCGGGGAAGCTGATTTTCTTCCCCTCTTCGAAAGGTCGAGTAGGGATTCTGTGCAGGTAACCGTAGCCAATACCACAGCCAAGACTGTGAACGAAGAAGAATAATCATGTCGGACATGCGCACAGAGACAGGAAGCAGAGAAAGCGAGAGTTTCACACACACACACACACACACCTGCCCTCTCCACCCCAGGCACCGTTGGGCGTGATGACCACTTCTCTGCAGTTGTCTGTGTCTGTGTTGTAGACGTAGAGTTTCAGGCCTTTGCCCTCATGGGTTTCTATCAATGAGAATAAGTCCTCTGACTGGAGAAAGAACATAATACACACAAAATGGAAAATCAGAGTGTTTTGGGCCAGTTGATGAAGCAGTCATTTGCCTTTTCAGGTTAGTGCTGCTGTGCCACTAAAATATTTACATAATGATTTGAACATTCATACCTTGCAACTCAATCATTTGCTTTTCTGTGATGTTTTTGATGTTTATTGCTGTTGCGAATTCTGCTGATTTGTCATTCAAATAATGTAATCTAGCTGGCTAGCATAGATAACTTTAAAATTATTTTTGTATTATTTATATACTATTATAGTATTTATTCATATTTTGAATCAGCATTTTTTTTAATGTTTTGAGATTTCATTTTAATTTTAGCTTTAAAGGTTGTTTTAGATTTTTAAAAATTTTATGTGCTTAAGACTTTTTTTTTCTTTCTTTTTTTTTTAAACAAACTAAGTTTTAGTTAACAATAACAATACTGTCTTGAAAACAGCAGTGTGTGGAAAACTAAAGCAATCAGTTTGCATTGTATGCCGTCATGTTATAGCTGTATAATTCACAGCTTAGTTACTTTCTTTTCTTATTTATTTTTTTAAAGACGATTTTGTAAAGTAATACTGAAAAATATAAACATTTCTAACAAATATACAAATGCATTGCTAAAAATTTGAATTAGTCTCCTTATCTTATTAATGGATAACAACCACAACAATTTTGGGTCATTTTACCTCTTTTCTATGGAGTCTGAAGAACCAGCATTTGTTTGCAAACCATCATTTTAATCTATATTTGAGCTGCAAAGAGTGACATTCTTTCATTCTGACGATTTATCCAAAACCAAAAAACTACATGCACTAGAATTCTAGAGTGCAGTTGTTACAATTCCATACATCTGTACACAATGATCAAGAAGTCTGAAAAGAGTTGGAGATGTGTGTGAGAGAAATGTACTTCGTTCATGACTGTGTCTGCTCCGATGATGTAATCCGTGTGTGGTCTTAAACCTGCCAATGCTGCTGGAGAATTTGGCTCCACTTCCTACAAAACAGACAAATTATGCATGAAAAAAAAGTGAGTGAGACTTGCATTCCATCTTACAGCTCGACCGACCGGTCTGCTTTACAAGAGCACGCCCTTGTTGAACACCTTGCTGAATTATGACTAATTAACCAAAAGTTGTTCGTCAAAATGAGGTCAAAGCAAACATGTTATTTTCATCAAAAGTCACCCCACCCTTACAAAATACACAGTGTAAATAACTCATGCCTGCAGCTTTCTCTGATTGCATTCATCACTCTTTCATTTACTCACCAAAACATGCCAGATGTTCTCATTGGCTCCCTCAAAGCTGCAAAAGCGGATGCTGACCCCCAGAAGACCCTGACCGCCCCACATATTGCTAGGAGTAACGGTGGCTTCCCGCAGCTCCAGGGTTTTGCTGCTGTACACCTGCATCTTCACCGGTTTTTCAACACTAGCCTTCAGTACGTCTTTCAACGTGTCATTATCCTTGTTCTTGGGAAAAAAATTAAAGCAAAAACAACATTTATGGTTGACACATTTCTACTGTCACACATGGTCTACAGCATGTACATATGTCAGTTTTTACAATGGCTTCAAATGTTGTTCATCCAATCAGATTTTAGAGTCAGAACTGTCAGTTTTACTGTTTAGAGTCTCTAAAGCATTAGATAATGTCAGATTTTCATTTATAATGTATTTAAACATGTTACAAGTCACCAATTTCAAAACAACTTGAGTAAAGGTCTTAGAGTATCTGATTTTAACAGTACTTAAGTATTTTACTTATACTGAATATAGGCTTAAAGATGCACTAGTCAAAGAGACACACCAGTGAAAAACAAGGAGTTGATTTGTGAGAACAGCAATCACATTTATTTTCTAAAACCAAAATAAAACTGAACACCTCAAAATTGCAAAAAAAAAAAAAAAAAAACTATATCCGTCAAAAAGGTCTCTTTAGTATAACGGATAAATAAAATATTATTTATTTATTTATTTTTGCTTAATTTGCTTATTGGGATTTTATAATAATAACAGGAATACAGGAGAATGGCGAAAAAATAATTAAAAAGTCTTCTTGCACTGGATGAGGTAGTTTCGGCCTCATTGCCGTTGCTAATGCATTCACGTAAAGTAGACTTGTTGACAAGTTGGCGATAGTAGAAATAAACTGCTGCAGAAAAAGCTAGGAGCCATGCTAAATGTAATGTGTAACTGAAACACTCATTATAAGTGTAGTGGAGTAAAGAGTACAGATGCTTAGTCAAAAATGTAGTGAAGTAGAGAGTAAAAGCTGCTAATATCTTTGATACTCTGTAAAACTACAGAGTATCCAAAAAGATACATGTACAATAATTAATTTCTCAAATACTTTACACCTCCGTATTTAACTCTGGATTATCCCAAAATTGGCATTATTACACAGTTATTCAATACATAAACAAATTTGAAATTCCTAACATCTGTTCATATAGAGTAAATTAAATTTAATTAAATGTATGCATTTAGCAGACGCTTTTATCCAAAGCGACTTACAGTGCATTCAGGCTATACATTTTTTATCAGTATGTGTATGAGTAAATCAAGCTTGCTTCTCGACTCAATGAATAGCCGATAGATGATAGATGCTCCTCATCATGTGCAACAAACCTACCAGTCTGGTGTTGTTGATGGACACAATGAAGTCAAAGAACGGTTCAAGACCTGCTCTATGACCGGGAGAATTCTCCTGCACCTGCAGAACACAGAAAACACCCCATTTAACATTCAAATAGTACCAACAAATGACTCATTAAACCCAAAAACAAACATTAAAATCGTCTAGCAAAACTCTAAACTGGGATAGATCATGCGATAATAAACTTTGTCACAAGTAATTGTCAAAATAGACACTTAACAACCTTTCTATCAGATAAGTTACTTGACTGAGATGCCAAATTTTAAAATAAGCAGTCATGCATCTATGTACCCAGTTATTAAAATGACATGCAGTTTATACACATTATATTTCCTTGTATAAACTGTAAACTGCATTAGTCTGGGTCAATCTGAGTTGTGTGAGATTAATAATAAACATAAACAGTAAAGCATCATGACATGTAGTAAGCTTCTTCAACAACAATTTTAGGAGAAAAACACAAGCAAAACTCTAAACTGGGATAGATCATGCGATAATAAACTTTGTCACAAGTAATTGTCAAAATAGACACTTAACAACCTTTCTATCAGATAAGTTACTTGACTGAGATGCCAAATTTTAAAATAAGCAGTCATGCATCTATGTACCCAGTTATTAAAATGACATGCAGTTTATACACATTATATTTCCTTGTATAAACTGTAAACTGCATTAGTCTGGGTCAATCTGAGTTGTGTGAGATTAATAATAAACATATAAACAGTAAAGCATCATGACATGTAGTAAGCTTCTTCAACAACAATTTTAGGGGAAAAACACATTGTACAGTAGGATAAATGAAGTTGTGCGTTTTAAAAGGTATCAGTCTTTGCATGTCAAATGCTGGAAAACTCCCATGCATTATCTTTACATTTAACAGCAGAGATTTTCATTTAGCCACATTAGCATTTAGCCACGGTTAACAGGCCGCACTGACATCCTCGGCCTCAATTTGAACTCTGCGCCGCAAGCGACTCGCGATGCACCGCATGAGTGAAAGGGAGAGACCGAGAGAGCGGAAGCATCTCTAAAAACACACTCACTCTGAGAACGTGATAGCCCTCCGAACCGCCTCCGGGAATTTCCACGCTCTGTGATCCCCCCATGATCCCCGCTCCGTGTCAGCGGTGAGAAGAATATTATCCGTTTTATTGTTTTCTCCCACCAACCGGTTTTGCGGGCAGAAGCGTCGAGTCTCCCAGGGATGCGTGCGACGGCGGCGAATGACGTGGCAGGCGGTGCAAGAAGGAGGGCTCGAGCTTATGTGGCGCACAGGTGAGACTGCGGCAAGGCCCTGCTCATGTTATGAATCAAGGAAGCATAGTTTATTTCTAATTCATAAGTGTATTCAATGTGAACGATAAGATGCGACACTTTAGAAGACACGGTTGCGATATCGAATTCGTGAATGAATCATTCATGCGAGTCGGATCTTTTTGATGAGTCGTTTGAACCGTGCACAAACATATCTGAATGATTCGTTCACGAGCCGAACCCTTTTTTTTGGGGACATCCAGTTTTATAAATGCCCTTCTCTTTCTGTGTTTGTGTGTTTTTGCATATACTCTGCCAATAAAAATAATACATCATTATTTTATTTTTTATTATTTTTTTAATCTCCAAACGTTACATATAGAGGATAAAGGTTGGTAGTATTTGCTGACTTGATTACGTAGTATTAAAATTGTACAAATGTTCATTGTACAAAATGCATCCATGTAGGGTTTGACTTTATGTTGTCCACTAGGGGGCATATTGCCATGCAATTAGTCACATAGAGCCTCCTGGGAGGAAGTCAAATGTGTGCAACATGATTTTTCTACTTAATTTCTTTGTCACACTGTAGATGTGCTGACCCCTGTGGCAAATAAATGATAATACAGAAAGCAAGAAACTATAGACCACTAAAAGAAAAACGTGATAAAAGGAGTAATGTTAAATAGACCATAACTCACATTTATAGTCCTTTCTTTGATCTTTGTATCATTTACTTCTTGTGATCCAAATGAAGTATAAATGATAAAAAGTACCTTGTACAGTATTTTGAACATAGTAACATGGTAACGTTTTATGGGGAGCATGGTATCTAAAGGTATGACTTTTTTATATATATTAGTATTATAATAATACCATTATAATTATGATAGCATTATATATATATATTTTTCCTGATAGTACCATGGTAAGTCCATGGCATAAGAATACGGTAATCATTCGGTATTATGGTTATTTTATGTATCAAAATGCAAAGGTATTGTCAACTATAAATATTCTTGCCACAGTATTTGTTGTGAGGGCATTTTAATAGAATTTTTCATATATAAACAAGATTTAATTAGCTATTTAAAAGGGTTTATAGTGTCTATTGTGTATCGCCAAAATATATGAATATATGCTAAATATATGTTGTAAATTGTGAAGCTGTTTACAGCATGTATTTAGCCTACATTTAGGCTAAATGCAAATATGGATTTGAAAAATATACTTGCAAAAAATATATTGGTAGAATATTTTTATTTTCAATTATTTTATATTTTTAGCCCTTTTTTGTGTATATTTTGAAATATATTTCAATATTATGACATACATTCTAGTGCCTAAGATCAGCTGGTTAAAAATTAGAATGAAATAAAAGAAAACGCAAACAAACTCAGTGTGAAGTGCAAGTTTATTATATGCTTTAAAATCAAGGTGCAAGATTTTACATTTTAGAAAGACGACTAATAGAACATTCTTATACTTTAATAGCTTTTATTGTGCCGTGTACACGTGTTTATAACAGTTTACATATAATGTGATTGCATTTTAAAGTGCCAGCCTTACTGAGGAGACCAGATCTCCCTTCTCACATTCAACATATACAGTCAACAATAGAGGAAAAAGATAATTGTGCATTTGTCAAAAACACTTTGAACAAATATGAATGAATGGAATAAACAGTCATCTTTCACATGTTCCAAAGACAACAGCTGGATCTAAATACAGCATATCAATAAACTTGTAATAAATATCAATATGACCACAATCTTCCAGCATCCTGAGGACATTGCCAGCCTTCCAAGTTTGTGCTTTTTGCTTTATTGTTTTCTTTTGTTATTTCTTCTCTCTTTTTTTAAATATGATGCTATAATCGCCTGAGTTGAATATCAATAATTAGTAATATACATCTGGTAACTAACTACCTTCAGATAATTGATAGGATTGCTTATAACATTCAGTCAAAGATGCACACGGTAACATTATAACACTAACACACTGATTGCACAGAGTTAAGGGCCTGAACGACAAACATATACAATATATTCATATTTATATAAATGTCTATAGATTCATACTATCATTTATACGCTTGCTTATTTCAAAGGATATTGAGTATATTGTAAATTGTATGGCACTAGTTCTGTCTTTGGCTCACAAGTACACTACTGGACCAAGAACATTAGCCTAAACTTGTTTGATTATATATAACTTGTCTTAAAATACAAATGAAGAACTGTTACAAATGGGAGAAATACCTTTTAAACACCGTTGGCTCACAATATAAATAAAGTATTTGTTTATAGATTTATATCATTACATTTCAAACTGAAAACTGAACGTTTCACCTCACAAAGGTGTTGATTAAACACTTTACATGACCTACTACAAGGTAAGTTTAGGAAACACAACACTAAAATACAGATCAACCACTGGTTTACACACAGACCCCACTACTACACAGAAAGGGGTTCGAGCTGCATTAAAAGGGTGGTGCGTCTTTGCTTGTCTTTATATTGTATTTACAAACACAAGCACCGACATGATCCCAATGGATTTAAACTGTGTTATAAGGTGACTGTGTAGCTATACAGGCTACGTGATCTGTAAGTTAAAGATCTAAACACATTGAGAAAAAGGACAGAACATATTGGACCACAATACGATGTCGAAACACAGCCATTGAATGTGTAGACCGTGCGACCGTCCTGTCGAGATGCCTGAGCCTCGTTAGTGTACAGAGCTGCAGTTCTCTGCTCTTAAACGTCGTGACCCAGCCTCTCGATCTCATCGATGAGGAAATCGATGTCGGACTTGGTGACGGCGTGATTGGAGACAACCATTCGGAAGAAGTTGACCTTGTCTCCTTGTGGCTGGTATCCTACCATGGTTGTGCCGCACTCCATCATCATTGCTTTGATCTTCGGTGCCACCTGCAGAGGAGACGGCGTAATTTATGATGGGTTTGTAGTGATGGGAGAAACCGAGCTCAGCTAAACTAATTTCTTCGTAAAATGATTCATTGTTTCAAAGCGCTCCAAACTCTGGCGGCACATGCTGACTCGAAACCGTGTAAATGGAATGAAATGACAATCCAAACTTGTATATATGATGACAACTGCAAATGTTTTCATGAAAGTGATATCTATTATGTATTCTACAAATAACTAAATACCATCTACACTTTTAAAAATAAAGGTTCTTTATTGGCATCGATGGTTTCATGAAGAACTTTTAACATCCAAAATGTTCTTCACACTAAGAAACAACTGTTCTTTTAAAGGAATAGTTCACCCAAAAATGAAAATTAGCTGAAAATTTCAAGATGTGGATGAGTTTGTTTCTTCATCTGGATCCTCTGCAGTGAATGGGTGCCGTCAGAATGAGAGTCCAATCAGCTAAAAAAAAACATCCACAAGCAATCCACACAACCTCAGTCCATTAATTAACGTCTTGTTTTAACTTTAAACCGCTGCATATAATTCTCTCCTGATTCAGACAAAATGACTTTTTCACTGGAGGAAGCGTTATTATAGATTATGGCCTGGTATTTTAGCCAGAAGCAACGTCTTAATGGTGGATTTGTTTCTTACAAACATGCAGATTTTCACCTCACAAGACATTAATTGATGGACTGGAGTGGTGTGGATTACTTGTGGATTATTGTGATGTTTTTATCAGCTGTTTGGACTCCCATTCTGACGGCACCCATTCACTGCAGAGCATCCATTGGTGAGCGATGGAATGATGAATTTCTCCAAATCTGTTCCAATGAAGAAACAAATTCTACATCTTGGATATGGGTGAGTAAATTTTCGGCTGAATTATTCCTTTAAGAACTGAGTTTGTTTTGAGTTTAAAGATTCTTTGGGGAACATAAAATGGTTCTTCTATGGCTTTTGTAAACGTTATTTTTAAGAGTACGGCGGCGAATCCTTGGAATTTTGGAACCAAGTTTCAAAAAAGTAATGATGTAATGAAGCCTCATCACATGACTCTTTGATAAAAGCTCCGAACCACTGATTTGAAACAAAAGATTTGTTTTGATCACTACTAGTTTGTGCTTGTTAGTCTCGTTTCTTGATAATTGAAATGAGATGAAGTACCCTGTGTAGTTTCTCCCTTCTTTCGTCTCCATCTGGCATGCCACGCAAGCTTGGTGGAATATACCAGAAGCAAACATTTGAGTGCTGGGGCTGCAGAGAACAAAAGAAAGCAATTAGAAAAGTCCTTACATTCAGTATTAGGTAAGCAGTTATTTCAATCTATACATAAATATGTGTGTGCCATATACAAACCTGGCCCTCAAAGACCATTTCATATCCCTCACGGTTCTTGATTTTGTTGTAGAGATATTCAGAAATCTCCAGACATCTGTCAATGTGCTGCTCAAACCCAGTTGTGCCCTGCACGGATCAAATTCACCAGTCAGAATAAAAATGTGTGTTTCTCTGCAATTGCCACATAATTGTCTTTATTTTAAAATTGGGATATAGTACATACATACCACTTTACCTGCATACATACTGTACAGTATACTCAGGTAATATGTATAAAGAAATATACTGTATAGCAAATCTTGGCTGTGTGATTGTTTATATTGTTGCAAAAATGTAAACCATTATTGCAAATATTATATCCAACTTTTTGTGCATATATACAGCACTCTCACATAAAGCAACATATAGTATAGAGCAAATCTCAACTACTACTTTTTTTATTTTGTTGCAAAATGTGATTATATTATCACCCAGCTCTTTATATAAAGTTTTTTTTTTATCTGCATACATACAGGATACTCATATATACCTGCTTGATTGTTTATTTGGTCACAATATATAAATTATATTATTGCCCAGCTCTAATCTGCTAAATGCAACTATAAGGTATGAAGATATTAAGATACATCATCATGATTTTCTGTGAAGCTGCTTTTGAAGCAATGTGTATTGTGAAAAGCACTATATTAATTAATTTGATTTGACATTACATAGCTGCAGCTGTTGTGACCCACCTTGGCCTTCCACATGAGCCAGAATTTGAAGATGTCTACATGTCTGCCACACTGGATGGCCTTGTCGCCGGTGTCGTAGTTCACATCGTACTGTTTGTCTGGTTGGAAGAGGTATCCAGCGCACATGGAGTTGCAGCCCTGCAGAATGCCCTGCAACAGAAGCACATCTCCTGTGATGATCAGTAGCTGTATAACTAAACTCTAAATGTATTTGAATTCACTTCTACATGTATTCATTTAGCAAATTTATCCAAATAAGTTAGGTGTGTAACTGCATATCCAAGATTTTAATTTAGACTTGTACACTGTACACTTGTAGACTGTACACTACTGTTCAGAGGTTTGGGGTCTGTTTTTTAATGCTTTTGAAAGAAGTCTCTTCTGCTCACCAAGGCTGCATTTATTTGATCAAAAATACAGTAAAAACAGTAATATTGTGAAATATTATTACAATTTGAAAAAAATGTTTTCTATTTGAATATATTGTAAAATGTAATTTATTTCTGTGATCAAAGCTGAATTTTCAGCATCATTACTCCAGTCTTCAGAGTCACATGATCCTTCAGAAATCATAATAATATGCTGATTTGCTGCTCAAGAAACATTTCTGATTATTATCAATGTTGAAAACAGTTTTTTTCACTATTCTTTGATGAACAGAAAGTTCAAAAGAACAGCATTGATTTGAAATAGAAATCTTTTGTAAAATTATAAATGCCTTTATTGTCACTTTTGATCAATTTAATGTGTCCTTGCTGAATATAAATATTAATTTCTTTTAAAAAATCTTACTGACCCCAAAACTTTTGAATGGTTGTGTATATAGATGGGCTTTTCCAAGGCAAATGTTAATACCAGATGTAAATGGGACCCTAGTGTGTGATAAATCCTGCCTGTTTATGTCTTTATGTGTTGTCTTTGACTGTTTACTGTCTCACCTTCTCTCTAACCAGGATGGCTGAACATTGCAATGGTACACCCATCATCTTATGAGGGTTCCATGTGACTGAGTTTGCTCTGAAACAAACAGACATGTGGGTTTTCAGGTCACACTGCACAATTACTGTGATATACAGTCATTTTAGTGCCTCATCTCGTGTGATTTTTACATACCTCTCAATGCCGCTTAGCTTGTGACGGTGTTTCCTGGACATCAACAGTCCTCCGCCCCATGCACCCTGACGATATACAAACACCACTGACCGACTGATTTAAGATGTTTAATTTATTTATTCAATGGACAATTTATTAAATTAATCTAGTTACCATTTCAGCTAATTCTGAAAGCACTCATTGGAAATGCATGTATATGTTTGAGTCAAGCTTACATCCACATGTAACCACAGGTTGTACTTCTCACAGATGTCTGCAATGTCATTGATGGGATCGAATGCTCCATATACTGTGGTACCAGCCGTTGCATTCACAAACAGTGGCACGTAACCCTAAAATAAACATTTAAAATCACATTCACTGTTGATAGTACATGGCCTAAAGATAGTGCCCTAACAGCAGAGTGCCACTTTATTAACAGAGAGGCTTAGAATTAGTACGTAAAGGTCAAATCATCCATCAGCTTGAGAATTCCTGCTCCAGTATTGATCCACTGAACTCTTCAGGCACTGAGGTTCAATACTCTCACTAGCTTGTCTCAGCAACACAGAACAGCGCAGTGAGTCTGAGCATCTGCTTACCTTCTGTTTGGCATCAATGATCTTGGCCTCTAAGTCAGCAGGTATGACACGCCCCCTGAAACAAGACAGCCAATGAGGTGCAAGTGGGAGGGACTCTAGCAAATAAAACATGAGCTTTGAAAGAAAGTAACAGTGGCTAATAGCTCAAAAAAAAAAAAAAGATACCTCTCATCTGTCTTCAGAAGAATTACGTTTTCTTTGCCAAATCCCAGTACTGCTCCTGCCTTTTTGATTGAATAATGACTCTGCAAAAAGAAATGCAAACATGAGCATATATGCATATCAAATGTGATATATAACATATCAAATATATTTTTGAGCTCAGCATCAAATCAGCAGAAGTGTTTTTTTTTTCCCAAGATGCAGGGCTGTGTAATATATGACCCCTAGAGGAAGACAAATCCTCTGTTTAACTGCAGTGGCAGTGGGTACTTACATGTTCAGAAGTGAAAAGCACGAGTCGTGGTGCTGCAGACATGCCTTTGGTTTTGACTTCAGGGAAATACTTGTACCGTGCAACCATCACACTGTACATGTTTGATATGGCACCACCTGTGAACAGATTCATCGCATTACAGCAGCTAAATGAAATGTGTTAAAGAATACCCTTACCAAAAAGTAGTATAGTTCAAGTTTATTTTAGTAAGTATACTTAAGTAAAGTTCATTTAGACTTTTTCTAAGTATAAGTCAAGTATACTTAAATGTCATTTTAAGTATATTTCTGAGAAGTACATAAAGCCCATTTCTGAGAAGTACATAAAAAGTAGACTAAAAGTATACTTTCCTATTTTTAGTTTAAAAGAAGTATACTAATAGCACACTTGAATAAACTTATTTTTGGTAAGGGTAGGCCTAGGCTATCCTTCATCCAACGCGAAAATATGTAGCCATTTCCTAATCCCCTAATTTTATGCATAATCTATTTAATTTGTATTATGTCTTTTGGGTCACGTTTTTAATGGTAGCTAATATTAGGTCTACATCTATCGGGTGTTATGGATCAGTTTACCTGGGGAGAAGAGTCCATCGCCATCACCATTAGGCCAGCCAATGATCTCTCTCATCTTCTTGAGGGTCAGTTGCTCCATCAGAACAAACACAGGAGCGATTTCATATGTGAACCTGAGCAACACACAGGAAGACCATGTTTAGTCACATTTACACTAAAAAAATGGTGTAGAAACAATTTTCACTTAGAAATGGCTTGTAAATAGCCTATTACAATTAATTAAAAGAAACGGCAAGTAACACTTTGAATTAAACGCGAAATTTTGAAAGTGTAAAACGTACTCCAATTATTTGTTTTATTTACAGCATCGAAAATGCATCTTGTAAGCACACAGAAAAAAATAAGGCGGGAAAAATTTGAACCTATAGTTCTACAATCCGATAATAGTGTTTAAAAGCAATTACACTTTTAGCGAAAATAATGAAGGCTATTTTTTTAAATGAGTATAAATCCAATGTTTTGCTACATTTCACATTATTTTAGTGGTGATTCGTACTCGAATACTCTAATACAATGATTACTTAATAGCAGCATTAATGCAATTCAAGAAATACTACCATATATATATATACTGTATATATATATATATATTTTTTTTATTATTTTTATATTTTTTGAAAATTGATTTGGACATGGTTATGAGGTTCGTAATACTTCTGTTCCACTTCTGCAAATTGTCAAAATCTGGCAACAGCTGCTTCAGAGAATCAGACATCACAGGCTACTGTTCCATTCTGTCCCTCTCGGCTGCTTTGAATATCGCTAATTAAAAGACGGCTGTGATAGACTAGATAAGGGCTCATTTCAGGCTGTTCTAATGCAGGGAGGCAGTACTCTGATGGCTGTCCGTCCGCGAGATAAGACCACGCTTCAGCACAAATCCATCTCATTCACAGAAAGGACGGACGAAAGAGGATGAGCGTGTGATGGAACACAACTAGGACACGGAGCAGCCCCGGGCAGACTCGTTGTTCAGCTCCGTCACGAAAAGGAACAAAGATTTGAGACAGTAAAATAACGGGGAATCATCAATAACATGCAGCAAAAACATGATTCCAGCTGTCATAGTGTCGTATAAATAGAGCAATGTTTCTCGCGCAGGCCTTACACGTGTTGGATTTGACAAATTGCATTTTCATGTACAAAGGAGGAGAAACCAACAGGAAATCGACTACCTGCCTGAATGCACAATGCGTATTGGGGCCGTTATATTCACTATTATGAAATTAAAAATGCATTGTGTGATACACATTTGCACAACAAAATCATAATCATATAAACACAACACGTTGGTCAAGTGAACTAGAGAGACCATCCATAATATCTATCTATCTTCTATCTGTCTATCTATCTATCTATCTATCTATCTATCTATCTATCTATCTATCTATCATCTATCTGTCTGTCTATCTATCTATCTATCTATCTATCTATCTATCTATCTATCTATCTATCATCTATCTGTCTGTCTATCTATCTATCTATCTATCTATCTATCTATCTATCTATCTATCTATCTATCTATTATGTATTTTTGTGACAGTTGTCTTATCAATGATTAGACAGCAAAAATGATTTTTGTCTTGTTTTCCATCACAAAAATATGGGGTGAGAAAAATAATCGTTTTCTCTTTGAATCAAGTTCATTTTTCTTGCATTGGCAGATATTTTTCGTATTTCAAGCAAAAACCCTCTTAATTTTGATACAAAAGTTAATATGTCATAATTTTGTTTCTCAAATGTTTAGATAGAAGATTTTTTTTTGCTGTGTTATACACAATGTCTATTTCAACTTAAAAGTGTATGAGTAAATATTGTGTAATTTAAAAATCTTAAAAATCATATTTACTGTATTGCGCATTAAATTTGATCAGCATTATATTGCCATATCAATATCTGCATCAACTACTGAAAATCATTTGTCATTTGGCTCTACTAGCAACCACCCCAAAACCTTAGCAACCACTTAGCAACACCCTAGAAACACACTTAACTCTTCTTGTCTTTTATGTGAAGCTATTTTGAGGGTGTTTTGTGTGTGTGTGTGTGTGTGTGTGTGTGTGTGTCAGTCCATTAGCTGCCGGTCAGTGTGTGTCACTGCTGATGAGAAATAATGGGTCTAAATCAGTCACTGTGAATAATGACTGAATAAGCAGCATTTGCATCCCGTGCATTCACTGAATCACAGACACGAGGATACTCCCCTTTCTCTTCTCACAAAGAGTGGCAGCAGAACAACAGAAGCGACACTCTCAGCAGTGAAGAAATGAAACGTTTCCAAACATTGCAGGTGAAATCCTTCAAAATGGGGCAGAGAGCAGTGGGAGGCCAACAGAACAGCTTTATCCCTGGAGCAAGACGACGCCATGATGTGGGAGCGAAGGAGAAACGTTTATCTGAACAGATGAAAATGCTTCAGTGTCAGAGTGAAGCGCTAATCAACATCCTCCTCCCAGAGAGACTCCCACACTCTCATCTACTGAACTAACACACCTCTGCCATTAGTACCTTGTGTACAAGAGCCATCATGGATCCATCCACCTTCAGATACAAATATAGTGCTTTTTAACCTCATATTCGTGCTTTACAGGAATGATATATGAAGACAGGGTAAAATTCAAGGTTTAATACAGAAAAACCGACCTACAACATCGATCACCTCTTGACTTCTCAAATGTCAGCAGCACTTGTGGACGTACTTTATTTATACTGTTGTAAAAAATCATATAAAGCAAATGTCACAAAGTAAAAAAAGAAAAAGTTGCAAGCTGTTCCGAAACCTTGGTGTCTACTGCTTGTGTAAAATGAAAAGTGTGGTGACTGTGTGCATCAAACAAATGCAAAAAACACAGATTATACTAAGCTAATGGCATGATACTCTAAATGGCATGAAAATACATTGCAAACTCACACATATAGGGTGAAATAGGCAACAGTTGTATAAGTGTATGCTCTTGCTTTGTCCGCCATATTACACTGAACTCATCACACTTCTCTCTGGGAATATCTTTTTATATGCACCCTTCAAAGTGGAGTCGGAAATATTGTAATTATGAGATCCAAGTACATGAATGACTGAGCAAAGTCAAATTCAAAGTGGGAAACTTTGAATTGTAGATAATACACGACTTGTTGATTTGATTTGTTGAGTGATGTTTAAAGGAGCGGGTCGATATGAAACATGGCAGAAACACTGATCTATAAGATAAATACTATAATATTATACATCTATAATCTATATAGAGAGGTCAGTGAGCAGAAAGCAAGTATGGTGTAAAGCTAATCACTCAATTTTCACGGTTTACTTTAAGAAAAACATTTAGTTGTGATACCATGTATAAGTAAGCGATTAACTGAAAAAAGTGAAAAGTGCATTTTTATATTAGTCTTTAAAAAAATCATGGTTAAACCTGTTTTGTTCAGTTTGGGTAAAAGTAAATAGCACTCCCCGTAGATAAAAATAAAATAAACTATTTTATTTAAATAGTATTTCTGCTTGACACCTTGTGCAGACACCGGCTAGCTTTACTGATTTTGGTAGTACATAACAAAAATGATGATGCATAATTTAAAAAGACATTAAGGTCTTTTGAAGAGAATATTCCTCTTTATTAATAATAAGTACAGCAATTTTTTTTTTTTTAATATTATAGCTAATTGAGCTTTTGTTTATGGTGAAATTAAGTTGTAAAAAGCCAGATAATTATTATATTGACCTACATTAAGTAACATTTTGTGTCTAAAGAAAATATAATGATTAAATGTATAATAAATTATCTTTTATTTTCAATGAATGTAATTTTTGTAATTTTTAACCAAACCATAAAAATCATTTGAGAAAAACTAATACATTTGGTTGTAACAAATTAGAGTTGGTCCAAAGCATAATTTGTTTTCAGTGTAGAAATGAATAATTTTCATAATTTTGAATTCAGATGTTTTTATTTGGGCCTTTTGTTTATAATTTCATGCTATATTTGCGCCATGAATGCGCCTGACTCTGAGGTACGAGATTCCTACATGCCCTTGAAGGCAGCATCACATTTGACACTGCTTTAGATTTTGTCCAAAACTGGGATATCCTAGAGCAACAACTCATCTGTTGGAATAGATTTTATGTTGGGAATGCATGCCTTAAAATACTCCCTATGTAGGCAGTTCACTATGGAACTGACCCTACGAATATTTAATTTAAAACTCTGATTTTAAAGACTTTTTTTAATTGTTTTTGGCACTGCTATTTTTCTCTCTTTTTCTCTTCATATGGTGGTATGAATTAGCTTAAGAGGATATTAATCAAAGAAATTTCCTATTGCCAAAACCCATTGTTCATAGTTATGGCTATTTAACAAGGCTTTTTTATCCTAACTGACTTCTATTATAGAAAGCTCTCTATTTATATTAAGAAAGACAGCTGTAATGAATTGCTCGGTCCTCTGAGATCAAAATGGCCTGCGGGAGGAAAATGCGATGGCCAGACTGCTCGGCCCACAGGGGCTCTCCAGCTCTCCGACTGGCTGGTCCCAGCTGGCACACACTTCCTACCAACCCACAGTCACACGCAATCAATGGGCTGTTAAATAGGTTTGGTACAAGTCCATTCTGTGCTTTAGTGCTGTAAGACTCCTCAGTGCTGCACTAACAGCAGCAGCATACGCTTCATGAAAAAACCCATCAGCTTCTGTTGTATATTTGGGATGAAGGGGCTAGTTTTCACCTGGGGAAGGGTTATAGCTATTATAAAATTTTGAGGCAAACGGCCAGTTGCACAAATGCTTGTTCTTTCTAGTAATAATTTGGGTGATTTGGTGATGTGTCATTGCAATCTATATTATCGTTTCTTTGCAAATCGCATGAGCAACTCATCAGACAGAAATGTCCAATAGAACAGCTCCGTTCAATTTGCTCTTTATATCAGCAGTGAAATGTGTAACTTTCTGGGCTGATCAATATGAAATCTCACAGGCCTGGAGGGCAGCGGGGTGGTTACAGCATTCAGACACATCACTCGATACAGCCTTGACAAAAACAGCACCTCAAGCCATAGCGTTAAAACATACCCTTTACATAACCTTAGAGCAATGGAAATAATTATATATGTAACACAGACAACATGTTGTTATTGCAAAATGACCCCAGCAGAGCAGAGGAGAGGAGAAGAGATGAGGAGAGGAGAGGAGAGGAGAGGAGAGGAGAGGAGAGTGGATTTGAGTAATTCACATGTTAGTGTTGGCAGTAGAGGTGAGCCATTCTCCAGCCAGACCGATGATATCCAGACCAGATGAAAGCTGATTGAAGAATCTAGGATGACCTGAGAAGAGATTTTACAGGAGCTATAAGTACAAATTGCAAATACATACTCTTTATCATAAAATGAACCAACCAGGACAAAAGACCTTTCAACTGATGTTGAAAAGTTTGAAGTCAGTAAGATTTTTTTTTGTTTATGTTTGAAAGAGGTCTCTTCTCCTCACCAGGCTGCAATTATTTGATCAGAAATACAGTAAAAACACTAATATTGTAAAATATGATGACCATTTATGTTTTCTATTTGAATAGATTAAAAATGTAAGTTATTTCTGTGATCAAAGCTGTATTTTCAGCATCATTACTCCAGTCTTCAGTGTCACATGATCCTTCAGAAATCATTCTAATATGCTGATTTGCTGCTCATGAAACATTTCTGATTATTATCAATGTTGAAAACAATTGATCTGATTAATATTTTTGTGGAAACCGTGATACCCCCCAGGATTATTTCTTGCTGTTCTTGTAGAAAGTTCAAAAGAACAGCATTTATTCAAAACAAATATTTTGTAATAATTGTCTCCACAGTCACTTTTGATCAATTTTAATGCACCCAGTATTCATTTCTTGAAAACTTTTAAAAACTATTAAAACTCTTAAAAACTAATATCAAAATATTTGACATTTCTTTGATTCTTTGGTAATTACATTATTTGTTTTCTGTTTGCTTTCATATATTGCTTATAAATTAAATTATAAGTCAAACTCATTTGAAGACACATCAAATTTAAATTGCTCAATGGTCAACATAACAGAACTGCAGAAAAGACAATACCTAAAACTGCCCATTTCAAATGATCAAGACATAACTTATGTGAATAAATAGGGAGAACCTGTCATAAATGAATTATCATTTAAAACCATCATCAGCTCAAATCTCTGTTGTCAGCTATAAATTATATGAATTAAAGTTAAAGACTGATTCACGTTGTTGTATTGACTTATGCTTGTGATGAATGTGTGATGATGTGATGATTGGACGGTGTGATAAATTGTTCAACAGGTTGTACCTGTTCTGACTCCATACTTGAGCGTGTCTCTGCAGTCCACCAGGATCTGCTCCAGCGACTCTGGTTGGTCAGACAGCTCCAGGTTGAAGCCCTCCATCCCCTCCAGGAGCTGGTGAGGGTGATGGAAGTCCAGCACTTTGGTGGATCTGTCAAAGGTCTTGCGCACATAATTGGTGAGGATCTCCACAACCTCAAGAAGAAACTGGATTGTGGGCTCCTCGCCATTTTTAGCAGGCAGCAGATCTGGAATTGAATGAGTCAGTATATGTGAGTCAGCATATGGGGGTCAAAAGTGGGTTAGTGGAGATGAAAAGTCTATCTATATTCTGTTTGATTTAGATAAAGCAAGAAAGCATTAGATTCAGAAGTTTAACTCTTTCTGGCATATATACATCATATGTGCATATATACAGCAGCGTATGAAAACAGCATTAAGAATGAGGTTTGTCGTTACCTCGAGCGAACAGGTTGGAGAAGTCTGTCTCTGCGCGCGTGAAGCGCTCGCTGTTGTCACACATCTGGTTCTTTGCGCTCTCCTTGAAGGCGCCCACCATCCGACTCTTCTCATCCAGACTGTTGTTCTTCTGCAGGAAACCTGCATCATTACAACACGGGGAAGAATTGCAAAACATATCCTCAGCCTTGATTCTGGATGCTAGAGGGAAAAAGTTTTATCTCTAACACAAGCAACTAACAGCAGGTTTGCTCTCTGATATTTATACCTAAGGGTGATTCCAGCTGTTGGAGTTTTAGTAGGACAGCGCTATTTATTGATTAGTGGAGGTTCAGAGGTGTTACTGTAGCCATGACATCAGAGGACATGTAGGGTGTGTGTTTTTTGGATCACGAAACACTGTTGAAACACAGATGAGTTGGGTCTGTCATCCTTCACAGATTCCGCTTGACTGACTAGATGATCCATTAACTGCCGACAGGCACATTCCATAGACTGAAGCTCCAATCTATCGAGGATGTTTTATTAGAGCATCTTACATGATCGTGGACAAACAGGTTTAGGCAAAGCAGAAAGAACCACTTACATTATTAAATATAACGGTTCTTTATAGGCATCGATGGTTCCATCAAGAACCTTCTAAAAGTGATTACACGAAAGGTTCTTAATAATGGATTAAGGGTGATGGATTATAAGGGTTATAGATTTTTAAAATGCATTCAAAAATGGTTATTTTAAGAACTTATCACTGAAAGGTTCTCTGGAGAACCCAAAATGGTTAATCAATGGCTCCTTTATTTTTAAGAGTGTAAGATACCATCGTTATACAAAATATGCATACTTTTCATTCATGATTAATACATTTTGTATTGACTGGTTTTATACGGAGAACTGCTTAGAGCTACTAACTACTGTAAAACATGAGTCACAGATGGTTGGTAAGATTATACAGAATATTTCTCAATATTTAACAGCATATTTCCTTAGAGCATCCGTCTTTCGGTCACGGGGGCCCGGTTGTCTTTGCGTGCCGCTTATCTCTCTCATTTTGAGCAGGACTATCACACAATATTATCAGAGAAAACAGACCCCCGTTCATACTCCCCTCTGCCCACCATGCAACCCATCTCTCTCATTCAGGCTCGGTTCTGATAAGAGCTAATGACTATTCGATGTCGTAAATCTTTGGCGATGCGCTGAACATCAATAGGCGACACGATTTTATCGCGGCTATCAAAATGGATTTTCCTGTTTTCTCTCACGCTAAAGACCAATGTTTTTTTTCTAGTCTTCACAAAGCACGTTAAGCATGTTTATTGTGCATGCAATTTAAATTAAACATACATTCCGATTAAATAACTGTATTATTTACTGTAAGCTTGCTATATGCTGAATATTATAAAAGATGGTTCACACACTGGATTAGACATTAATTTCGTTCCTTTTCGTTTCTTTAAATTAAACCAAAATCAATTTCTGCATGAGCTCTCTCCAAAGAAATAAACACATAAAGGAATACATAAATACATAAAGAAAAGCACACACACACACACACACACACACACACACACACACACACACACACAATAAAACAACACAACATACAAATCGTTTGACAACATAGATTTATAACAAATTTGATATAACTTAAAACATATATACTACGTCGTTATATTATTGCATTTTTTTTTTTACATATCTACACAAAGACACACTGATCAGATCAAATCCGTTTCTTTTATGCATTTATTAAAAAAAATCCTGACTCGGGCATTTTAAATAGATTTACAAAGAAAACTGGAATGTGAATTGGACCGTGATGGCGGGTAATTTTTGTAATTACGCTATTAAGGTGGGACTGTTGAGAGCAGATGATGGCTGATTGCTGTTATTTAAGCTGCCATAAAAACGTGGCAAAATGCAGGAGTATTGTTATAAGATGGGGGACCATAATTAACTGCAACACGTCATTTAGGCAGAAGTGGGATGCTCTTATTTGAGAGTAAAATGAAGAATATAATTTTATTTGTAATCTCCAGATATGAATTCAGACTAAAATTATACCCAGAAAAAAATGAGTAAGAGATAAAATAATCGTACATAAGATTATTATTATTTAGTAGTGTTATATACATCTGTACACATATCGATCTCTCTCTATTCCTCACTTTGATACTGAAATGTAAGAATTTACATTTTTATGACAAAAAACTGATTATTAGGAATTCCCGTTTTAATATCTATCTATCTATCTATCTATCTATCTATCTATCTATCTATCTATCTATCTATCTATCTATCAGATAATTTATCATTTCTCTCTAGCTGTCTCTGTCAGCTAATAGACATTTCAGAGGGTGCTGTGTGTTTTTTAAGGCAGTGATGAACATCGCCACCCCACGGAGTAAATAAGCCAAGTGAAAAACGCGTTATCCAGAGAGACCTACTTGTGGCAGATTGTCGTAAATTAGCCGTGTTTGGGTCCATATCAGCAGCCGAGGAAGAAGGTGCAGAAGACGCCATCAGTCCAGGAGAAACACCTCAGCTTTCAGACTGAAGGAAAAAAAATACACACTACACGGAAAATATGGAGAGTTAGGATAAAACAAAGTGATGGCACAAATAATACTGTCTTATATCTCATATACTGCTTATAAAATTAAAAGTAAGCGTTTTTGTTTTCAAGGAATCTCTAGCATAATTTCACGCATCTGTGATATCCTTCTGAAATGGCAGTAATTCAGTCCCTGTCTCAAGGATCATTCGCGCTCAGTGTTCTGTCATGTTCAGAACTGCGCTCTGAGAACAGCGCACATTACTGCACATCCAAAGCGCGAGAAATCAGCAACAAACTTCAGAAATAACGAAAAGAATTGTAGGTAAGTTCCGAAAATAACCCGACCTATATAACTTGGTATTTTGGATGGCGATCCGGTTCTTGCTCTCCAGACGCACCGGCCCCTCTGAGCTCCAGCGCGCAGCAGACCGTGAAGTCTGACTTAATTGGCTCTGTAACGAGGTCTTTAAATCGAATCATTTAAAACGCAGAAATGAAGAATCTGCTCACTTCAACCACAGCATAACAAAGGCGACGAAGTCAGGACAGAAATAATCATTGTGAAGGCATTATGGAGAGTTAGGATAAAACAAAGTGATGGCACAAATAATACTGTCTTATATCTCATATACTGCTTATAAAATTAAAAGTAAGCGTTTTTGTTTTCAAGGAATCTCTAGCATAATTTCACGCATCTGTGATATCCTTCTGAAATGGCAGTAATTCAGTCCCTGTCTCAAGGATCATTCGCGCTCAGTGTTCTGTCATGTTCAGAACTGCGCTCTGAGAACAGCGCACATTACTGCACATCCAAAGCGCGAGAAATCAGCAACAAACTTCAGAAATAACGAAAAGAATTGTAGGTAAGTTCCGAAAATAACCCGACCTATATAACTTGGTATTTTGGATGGCGATCCGGTTCTTGCTCTCCAGACGCTCCGGCCCCTCTGAGCTCCAGCGCGCAGCAGACCGTGAAGTCTGACTTAATTGGCTCTGTAACGAGGTCTTTAAATCGAATCATTTAAAACACAGAAATGAAGAATCTGCTCACTTCAACCACAGCATAACAAAGGCGACGAAGTCAGGACAGAAATAATAATTGTGAAGGCATTATTAGTGTTATGATGATGACGATAAATACTGTTTCTTTGTGTTTAACCGATGCGCCCCCCCCCCTCCAAAAAATAAAGAAATAAAAAAGGAGAGAAAAAATGAATAGAAAAAGAGTGACATTGATTTCTCAATTAAGATGATCTTTAAATATCTTCAAATAACGCGCACCAATCACTGTCGGGGTTAGTGAAATATGGCCAAAAATCATTGCGCTGCTCATGTGTTAAATTACACCATGTTTTTAGATAATTATTTTGCCTGACCTGTGCCTGTAAGATGACAATAGTGGCATAAACTGGTTTATATCTGCACATGCATTTATTATCATCGAATATAAAAAGCACAGTTTAGTTTCTGCTCCTCTTTCAAGTATTCTTATCCTCCTAACATTATAGAAGAGAAAAAATGTAGACCAAAACGCAGAAGGTGAGCGCTTACCTTACGAAGTCACAGGTGTCACAATACAATCCAGAAAAACGGAGGCACACGGAGGAGGATGTTTCACACCGCGTGATGTGGCTGTGAGGCACTTGACATCAGAAAACCACAAGAGTGAACAAGAAAATAAAAACCCATCCAGCGCTAAATTTTGATTCAGTGTTTATCCTTCAAAAGGCGAAAGGAGAATCTTCTAAATTCACTTCTGCTGTATTTTCCCACCGGTTAATATCCATGGGGTTGTCTCGAGATTATTATATGGACTCAAGCCATCAGACACATGAAGTTTAATTCTCCGAGTAATATACATATATACATACACGTCAACATACCGGTGAGTGAGAGAAGGAGAGAGAGGGAGGAGAGAGTTAGACAGAGAGACATCATGAGGACGAGCTCAGGGTTTTCTTGTTGTTATTTTGGAGAGAAACGATAAAGATTTTTTAGTCTATTCTAATGAAACAAAATGTTAGGAATTAGATTTTTCATTTATTGCATGACTTGTGGATTAGCCCCAGGTAGCCTATAACCTAGATGAGATATCTGGAACTACAACAACAGTGACATCCACGAGGTGGCAACAGAGAACAGACCAACTTGAACTTGAATGAAGGATTTTTGGGCAGCGCCCTGGAAAATCACTTGAGCTGCTCGGTTTATGCCTGTAAGATCGGATATTTCAGAACCTCTGCTGATTACGCTTGTCAGTACTGATGATGACAACTTTTTATTGGTTGTTGTTAATTATACGTGCGCCGCATTATTACAGCCTTTTCAGCACCTGGACAGCTCCACTCGGTCAATACAGTCAATAAGAAGAGACCGGGGCTAGTTGTCACGCATTTTTTTTTTTTGCAGTCAGTCAGTATTTCTCTGGGTGGGCTTTTCGATATTCAAATCCTGTAGGCGCAAGTTTTGACAACAAAAAGTATTTGAACGCACACATCGTTATTTGAACGCATTGTGATTTTATTGTGTTCACCTGTACAACAACAATAGTATGAAATGAATCTTTCTTTTGAGAATAAAATGAGCAAAAATTATATTTAAAATAAATTTGAAGACGTTTGGATTCAGCACACAACCACTGCTATAGAAAAAAAGCATTTGTATAATTGGACTCAAAATATTATAGTATATACTATAGAGATAACCTAATAAACAATGTTCCAATGTTCTAATGTACCAATTGAGCTACGAAAAAGTTATTTCTGATTGTTTTTTCTTATGTGAACGTTAAGGGAACATTCCGTTTTATCATTATGGGAACGTTTTGAATGTTTTCTGAAAATTCTAACAAGTAGTAACATAAAAAAAAAAAATGTTAGATGAACGTCCAACTAAAACTTTTCAGAAAAAACCGTTCCATGAATGTATAAATGTTTTTGTGCTAACATTTTGAGAAAAATATTAAAGACCAGATAACTTTGAACGAACATTCTATTAATTTTATTTGGAAGAACGTTTGTTCACAACGTTAAGACAACCTTTCCAGAACGTTAGCCAAAAAAAGAACGTTTCTTGTTATATGGAGAGTTGTTTTGACAACTTTGCAGTGTGACAACTAACCCCGGTTCAAACTGTGAAACAATATTGTTGTTTTTCCTCCGTTAGATGGCGCAATAATGTCTTGCACCTTTCTGAACAACTACACCGAAAAAGTGAAGTAGGAAATAGCTACTTTATTGTCTTAGGACATATATAGATTACAATTCACGCAGAATATGATTTAAAGTCCAGTCAGTATTAGACTGTGCATACATGATATGCTAAACATGACACACATTGTTTATGAGCATTAGATATATTAATACTAAAACAATACTGTATGTGATTAGGACCACTATAGATCTACTACACTCTTTGTTTGTTTGTTGTTTATTTATGATGAAGATGATAATGTATCATCTGTGCTGTCAGTGGACTCTTCATCTGTGTCAGAGGATTCATCATCTGAGGACTCATCGTCATCTTCAACATCATCATCATCAGATGTGTCATATTCATCAGATTCATCATCATCATCTGATTCCTCATCCGCTTCTAGAATTTATAATCATATCCAGATAAAGAAGGTGAATTCAACACACTTTATGTTCAAGTCTTTGCTCACACATTATTAAAGTTACCCTTTTGGAACATTGCTTCTATTTAATTAATGGTATTTCATTTTCATTCATGTATGCAGTGCTTATGAAAACAGTTTTGGTTAAAGCAATTTAGAAGTACATATCACTAGGTTAATTTAAATACTAAAGAGGAAAATCATAGTAAAGCTTATGTTTTTGTCATACAAATGTAATTTATTCAATTTGAGGGTCAAAGCAAAGTGGAACTATCATGTCCAAAAAAACAAAAAACAGATAGATAGATAGAAAATGAATAGCTTATAATCTCACCTATCAGTAATTTTTCTTCAATGAGAGGCAGGAAGCTCTTGGCCTCTGAGTTCTGGGGCTCATAAATTAAAACTAAATTTATAGAATGATGAAAACATCAGTATCATGATGTGAGAAATGTCAAATGTAAACAACACCAATTCACATGGCTACTTACTCATCTGACAGAGTTTTTTGGCAAGTTGGTAATTCTTTGTCATCATGGCCTGCAGAAACTGGATTCATAGAAACAAAAACAGAACGTTTTTTTTAGTCAGTAGTCATTTTCAAACACATCAGATACATGACGTGCCCTAAATGCCTCACCTCTGCAAACAGTTCTAGCGGCACGTGCCCTTCAGTGCTCTCATTTCCATCCTCTTCACTCTGTGCCTCATGAGGATCCTGGTCATTTGCAGACAGCACTACTTGAGGGGCCTGGATATGGAGTTCATGCACACTTTCTGACTGGACATCACATTCTCCTTGTTTTTCTAATGCTTAAATTAAAAAAGAAAAATTAAATCCACTTTTGGACACCGTGGGTATCAAAAAATGTTTCAGGAACTTTGAGACAAATAGATTGAACAATAAATGTGCTAAAAAGGACTAAAGGATAAAACAGATTCAGTACCTGTCATAATAGGGGGAACCTGTTTAGGTAGTTTATGTCCATGCGTGGTTACATTTCTGAAGGACGGAGCTTTAGAGGCATTATAACCTCTGCTGCTGAAAAAAATGGGTGATAAAAGGTAAACTATTAGAGATCACTGGAGCGAATGAATGCCATCAGCTTCCCTGCTTTATGCATGTACGGCCCATAAACCACATCCCATGAATGACCCAAAGAGCATGCTGAAAATACAAAAAGCCACTGAAGCACTCAAATTAAAAATAAGCTTGTTTCTTTATTCCTTTCAGTACTGGTCATCTATCCTCATTCTCTAATATAGAAAACTTGTTGCTTTTAGTTATTATTTTCTGATATGAAATACTTTTGTTTTTACCTCTTGGAACTGTGTACTTTGAGTGTGGTATCTGATGTTTCAGAGTTCAAGGAAGGATTCCCCTCTGTTTTTTCACCAGGTTTTGCTTTCTGTTGCCTATACAAAACCAAAACCAAAGCATCTAAATGATGGTTGAAGTGGACCAGTACAATAAAAATATTATAAAACATTCTTACTTCAAGTAAATAAGTTTAAAGGAATAGTTCACCCAAAAAATAATAATTTGCTTAAAATTTCCTTACCCTTAGCTCATCCAGATTTTGAGAAATGAAGCATTCCATCACTTGCTCACCAATGGATCCTCTGCAGTGAATGGGTGCCGTCAGAATGAGAGTCCAAACCGCTGATAAAAACATCACAATAATCCACAAGTAATCCACACCACTCCAGTCCATCAGTTAACATCTTGTGAAGTGAAAATATGCATGTTTGTAAGAAACAAATTCATCAAGATGATTTTAAATCATTACTTCTGGCCAAATTATGATTCCATAATCCATAATAATGCTTTCTCTAGTGAAAAAGCCCATGCCCTGTTATCCATCAAAATCCACAGACATATTTGCTTAGAACAGTTTGCTTATAAACAATGCTTGATCTGTGCATATTTCTTTCCTGATTCAGACAAAACTACTTTCACTGGAGAAAGCAATATTATGGATTATGGACATGTATTTTAGCTGGAAGCAACAGTTTGAAGTTAAAAACTTCGTAAAGATGGATTTGTTTCTTACAAACATGCAGCTTTTCACCTCACAAGACATTAACTGATGGACTGGAGTGGTGTGGATTATTGTGATGTTTTTATCAGCTGTTTGTACTCTCATTCTGACGGCACCCATTCACTGCAGAGGATCCACTGATGAGCAAGTTGGAATGCTACATTTCTCCAAAACTGTTCCAATGAAGAATCAAACTCATCTGAATCTTGGATGGCCTGAGGGTGAGTACATTTTCAGCAAATTTTAAGTTTTGCGTGAACTATTTCTTTAATTTACCCCAATTCTTTTACATTGACCTGAGAGCTGCATGGGCAATTTATGTTTGTTAATCACTGTTATAAAAAGTCTCCACTGATTTTACCTCATGGTTCTTGGAGTTTTGAGTTTCATATTTGTCTCAGAGTTTATAGAGGGTCCCTGTCCTTCTGTCTTTCCACTGGGTTTTGGTTTCTGTTGCCTACACAAAATTAAACAAAGCACCTAATACATTTGACACTGAGTTTTTTTTTATTTAAGTAAAGCATATTGTATATGTATCCAAAAAGCATATTGTATCCAAAAGACCTCTCATTGATCTGAAAATCCAGTCTTCATTGTTCACGTCAGAGGTCAGCATTTAACCAATGTGAAATCATAGTGACCTGTAACACATTTTTAAACCTACTTTGGTTTCCATTCCACTGATTCTTTTGCTGCTGGATCTACAGAACAAAGCAGGTAAAGTCATTCACCCTTTCAGAAGAAATATTAGCCTTAAGAAAACCAAGGCAGACCGTCGTCATGTGCATGCAACTGCTAAATGTTACAAAACGGTTGCTATAGTTATATGTGTGTATATGTATAGATAGATATTAAATCAGACTAACACCTAGATTATTTTACCTGCTGAGCTGCCAATCACTGGTTTTAAGGGTTCAACTTCCTTTAGCAGAAACAGAAAAAAAGATTAAATGTGATAAAATAGCACAATGATCAATTCAGATAGAATTTTGTCTGACGATATAAAAGAAAACACAATATCAATATCTAAATGGAACATAAAAACAAATGTAGATTGTCCTGCCACTGACCTTTTCACTGACTTTGGATGCAACCTCTGAGGGCCTTCCAACACACTGTAAACTTACAATAAATAATAAAAAAAGTGTTTTGTTTTTTTTAAAGAAATGTTCAATAAACAGTAGCCTATTCCTACTTATAAAAATGTTTGAAACACAAT